ACCTGGGAAATTTTCTTTTTTTACGTCTTCCACAATTTTCACAGTGACTTTCTTCTCCTTCTTGTGTTCTGGAATTCCAATCATGTGTATGCTGCTCCTTTTGATGTAATCCCACATGCTGCTAATGTTTTCTTTATGTCTCATCTCTGACTTCTGGTCTAGTATGTTTCCATTAAGATTCTTGTCTCACTGACTTTCTGTTCCATCTCTTTCATTCTACATTTTTGTCTCTCCAGCATGTTGAATACTTCTGCCACTTTGGTCTTAATATTCTGGATGGCATTTTCACCTATTTTATTTCCAGTACTGTGTCGGCTGTACTCACTGTCTTGTCATGATTTTTAAAGTTCTTGTACATCATTATTTATAGTTTCAATTCTTTCTTTAATATTTTTGAATTTTCTTCTATAGTTGCACAAGTTTTTCTCATCAATACATTTCTTTTTTTAAAAAAATATTTGATTTAATATCTGTCCCATTTCAATATATTTCTTCTGGCCCCTATCTTTGTAATATTTACTTTTTTGGTTTTGATTGTTTCTTCCATCATTTCATCTTCTTTTGTATCTTTTCAAATAACTTCACATAAATATATTTCTTCTGGTTCTCTGTCTCTGAGAGAATCACTTTATTTCTGGCTTCCATTGATTCTTCCATGATTTACTTTTTTATGTTGCTATTTTAATGACTCCATATCAACAGACATTTTTTGTCTCCCTGACTCTGGAATCGTCACTGAGTTTTCAATATGTTCTGCTATTTTTGGAGAAGGTTTAATTTGGTTTTTTTTTTCACACTGTTGAAGATGAATGCTGTTTTCTTGACATTATGTGAAGTTTTCCTTGGGAGGTTTAGGCCATTTCTATTGTGTCTGTGTGAGTTATTGATACTTGTAATATTTTTGATGGCATTGATTCATTCCCGGCTTACAATGTTGTATCTATTGGGTGGGCCAATCACTCTACCCGGAGTTCTTCTAAGAAAGTATTGCCTTTCCTAAATTTGTTCAGATTCTCTCTGGTCTGTAATGCAGACCTTCAGAAACTTTGCCTTATTGTAACCCCCACTCTCAATTCTATTGTCCTCCTTTACCTGCAGAGTAGTTGGAGATCAGGTGCTCCATTTAAGTGGTTCTTAAACCACTCTAAAACCAGGAGGCTTTAAAAGAAGTTCTCTTCCTAGCACTCCATTGTTCCAGTTGAGAAAGGGAGCTCTAGTACTGGGAGCTCCTTGTCCCAAACTCTATTGAACTCTTTGCTCTCTGTGATACCCCCGTAGTGGAAGGGATTCACAAATGGAGGAGCCCTTTTCAAGCTGAGCTTGAGGCTCTCTCTATCCACCTTTCCTGAAAATACTGGCTCTGGGGAAGTGTCTCACCTGATTATGTCTTCTCTCCTGAAGTCTATTGTCTTTCTTTGTCTCAGAAATAGTGTGAGGCCAGGGGTATCAATGAAGGCAGTCTATCTTTTTTTCTACTGTCCTTGGTCTGTGGAATGGCACCACCATGATCTTCAACTCTCTTCTTTACTCTCTGTGATGGTTCAGGGGGAAGTTCTTATCTTCACTCTTATACTTGATGATGGTGAGGTCTTGACAAGAACTTATATATTGGTTGACTGTGGATCCAGGTAAAATGAAGTTGTTGACAAATTTAATCTTTTCTCTGTCTTTATGATGTTACCTATTGGTCCAGTGGTGAGAATTTTTTTCTCTTTACATTAAGATGTAATACATATTGAAGCCTGTCGTCTTTGATCTTCTTTGGTAAGAACTTCTAGCTTTCTTCACTTTCTGTAAGTCAGATGGTGCCATCTGAGTAAGAGATTGCTGATGAGTCTTTCTGTAATTCAGATATCATATTTTTTTATATAAATAGGGCAGCTTCTTGAATTATTTGCTCAGCATACAGATTTTTTATTTCTTGCAATTCATTTTTT